TAGTACAATCGACTATCAGGCCATGCTGGACTCCTCAATTGATTCAGCACAGCGTGATAATCGATTATCACATGTGTAATAATCGATTATCAGGCCCTGTGGATTCTTGGGTCTGAGTTAGCTTCACTGATAATCGATTATCACATAGGCAATAATCGATTATCAGGGCTCCCTGAACTTATGACTTCCTGAACAAATCGACTTGACAATCGATTGTCATAGGGTGACAATCGACTATCATAGTCTGCAGGACTTTGGGGACAGAAGCTGCACAACATGATAATCGATTATCAACAGTAGACAATCGATTATCAGCCAGTTCTGAACCCAAGGCCATCACGTTGAACAAATTGTAATCAAACACATATGTACGCATTGAATTTAACTTTGTACTTTAATCAATGCATTCATTCCATCATGTTCATTCTAGACGCATGTTCTAGGTTTTCATCCTGTGCATACCGCTGTAGGGAGGACTTCATGCGCCTACTACAGTGGGCCCATCCAGGAATCTTTGGAACAAACGGGTTATCATCATGTTGGGCTTGTGTACGTACATAGTAGTCAAGTTACGGCTACTACTCAGTTTTGCTAGTCCACTCGTGACATCTTCGTCGTGCCCGGTTCGTTACTGTTCGGGGACGATGACCGGAGTGCAGGGGTGATCCTGTCGACTGAGACTAAGCCAGGGGTGTCCCTGATAGTTTAAGTCATGCATCAGGTCATTTATCATCATCATGTATGTTCCTTGTTACTTGAAATAGCTGTAACAGGTGAAAACTAAACAGTTAGTAACTTGTGGTTTCCCGTACGTTAAGTACATGTATTGATATGGGTATAGCCATATGGGTTATCACTTAATGTTCTTTTGTTAGATTCACTCCTCAGCTTTAGCTGAGCGTGTAGTTGTTTTTGCTAGACATGACGGAGCGGGTGCCAACCCTAGAGAGCAGTGACGATGGGGAGATGGGCGGCGCATGGACACACTCATATTTACTTTTAATTTCTTGATTAACTATTTGGGCATGAACCCACCCTTGTCGTTAATTAATTTGGACTGGTCTCATTTATTTACTTCCGCACTTACTTTGCACATTTATTACACATGTTTTAGGAGTAACTCCCTGGCATTTATTTCACTAATTAAACCCAACCATTTTCCTATTAAATATCCATTAATGTTTTTGTAACGGACGGTTCTCGGATTGTCCATGTAACCCTACCGGTCCGTCGGGTCGCGGGTGAACTGGGTCCACGGAAGGCGGGTGTTACAATTTGGTATCAGAGCGGTTCGGTTTTGTGAAAAAAAACAAATTTTGCCATTTTGGTCAAAAAGTATTTTCTTTTCAAAAGTCCACAGCCGCATCTCCCATCACATCACTCTCAGGGAAAGGTACACCGTTATTTTAATCACATGTATGTCATACTGTATTGAGTTCTGATTTAAGTTGTTCCTATAGAGAATGAGTCAAGCAGCTGGCAATGACGGACAGACTATCCCAGAGGGGGAGCCTGAGCACGTGAGCTTGCACACTGAAGCGTGAAGCTTCACACCTCAGCAGGCCTCCGAGCAGGCGGTCCCGGTCATGGGCCCTATACCGGTAGCCATCCCTATCGTCCAGCCGCAATTCACGGCTAACTTCATGAATTTCCTCGAGCAGATGGCTGGAGCATACGTTCCACCACCGCCGCCACCGCCGCCACCAGTGGCGGTGGTCACCATCGAGAAGCTCCAGAAGAACGGAGCTGAGGAATTTCCGGGCGATCAGATCGCCGACCCCATGATCGCGAAACGGTGGTTTGAGCGAACCATACGGGTGTTGGGGAACCTGAGGGTTCCGCAGGAGCAGCATGGCAACCTCGCAGTCGCATTACTTCAGGATTCCGCCTACGACTGGTGGAAGAGTGTGGGAGCAGACGTCCCGGAGCCTGTGCAGTGGGCCACATTTGACCGACTCTTCCATGAGGAGTACATCCCGGAGCACTTTGTCGAGGCGAAGCGAGAGGAGTTCCTGAAGTTCACCCAGGGTGAACTCACACTGCCGGAGTATCACCAGAAGTTTGACGAGCTTGCGGGGTTTGGGCAAGACCTCGTACCGATTGTGGAGAAGCTGTGCAAACGCTTCGTGGAGGGTTACGTTCCGACCTTTCGACCCATCTGATCATTGCTCCCCGGAGTGACATCAACGCGTTGTACAATAATGCGTTGGATTTGAACGCGGCCCTCATCAAGAAGGCTGAGTTTGAGCAGACGCAGGGGGCGTCAACAGCACCATCTCGTCCTCCTCCACCCCAGAAGGCGGGGACCAGTGGCAAGAGGTCCTCCGCAGCGCCTAGAAGCTCTCACCAGAGCAAGAAGGTGAAGTCAGCCCCGGCCCAGTCGTCTGCGTCCGTCCAGAAGAAGGGCAAAAGCGGTGATGGGTTCTGTAACCCAATCTGCAACCATTGTCGGCGCAGGCATCCAGGAAAATGCTGGTATACTCTGGGCTTGTGCCTTGGGTGTGGCCAGGCCGGGCATTTCCGCAGAGATTGTCCAAAGAATCCGGGTGAGGCATTCTTGTCTGCACCAGCCGCTTCAGCCCCAACAGCGCAGCCCGCCCAGAGTCAGAAGTCGGTGGCAGCATCTAGTCAGCCCAAGCGGCAGGCATCTGGCGCTCAGGCGGGGAAGGCCTTGGCCCGTATTTACGCGATGCGAGGACGTACCGAGCAGCCAGCTTATGACGTCATCATGGGTATTTTCACCTTATTCGATATGTCCATTACAGCATCGATTGATCCGGGTTCCACTTTATCATATGTTTGTATGCCTATGCCTGTTATGCCTAACATTCCGAGGGAAAACTTAGACAATCCGGTAATAGTGTCACCCCCATTGGGACACAGTCTACGACTCACCCATGTGTATCACGATTGCCCATTAGTGGTCCAGGGAAAGACCTTCCCTGCAAGTCACATTGAGCTACCACATCGTGAGTTTAGTGTTATTCTAGGCATGGATTGGCTCACTGCCAACCAAGCTGTTGTTGACTATGGAGCTCATACTGTTCGACTGAGAGCTAAAGACGGTAGTGACGTACTAATCCGTGGTGAGCTTCTTCCCAAAGCTCCAGAATTCATTTCCTACATTCATGCTCGTCGACTCATTTGCAAGAAGTGTGAGGCATTCTTGTGCACAGTGCGTGACACTCGTCAGGAGGCGCCTAGTAGGGGGGACATCCCTACGGTATGTGACTTTCCTGATGTGTTTCCAGATGACTTACCTGGTCTACCACCCCCTAGGGAGGTAGAGTTTTCCATTGATCTTGTTCGGGGAACAGGACCGATCTCGATTACGCCCTATGGCATGGCGCCTGTGGAGATGAAGGAGGTGAAGGCTCTACTGCAGGAGTTGCTGGATAAGGGCTTCATCCGTCCCAGTGTGTCCCCTTGGGGAGCACCGGTTATGTTCATCTGCAAGAAGGACGGATCGATGCGGTTGTGCATCGATTACCGTCAGTTAAACAAAGTCACCATCAAGAATCGCTATCCGTTACCACGCATTGACAATTTGTTCGACCATCTTAGAGGAGCCACGGTTTTCTCTAAGATCGATCTCCGATCAGGATACCATCAGATCCCCGTTAAGAAGGAAGATATTCCTAAGACGGCTTTCCGCACGAGATATGGTCATTACGAGTTCACAGTCATGCCCTTTGGGTTGACTAACGCACCGGCAGTCTTGACCAGTTTGTGGTGGTCATCATCGATGACATCTTGGTGTTCTCCAAGACATAGGAGGAGCACGCCGAGCATCTACGTATCGTTTTGAGCATTCTACGGGAGCAGCAGCTTTATGCCAAACTATCCAAGTGCAAGTTCTGGTTGCACGAGGTTACCTTCCTCGGCCATGTCATTTCGGCCGAAGGTGTGAAGGTAGACCCGTGTAAGATAGCAGCGATCACGGAGTGGAAGACTCCGCGAAATGCACGTAAGGTGAGGAGCTTTCTCGGACTCGCGGGCTACTATCGTCGGTTCGTGAAGGACTTCTCCAAAATAGCATCGCCATTGCATAAGCTGATTAGGAAGGACATTATGTTCGTTTGGACTAACGCTTGTCAGCAGAGTTTCGAGCGGCTGAAGGAGTGTCTGACCCAGGCACCAGTTCTAGTCCAGCCCACTCCAGGAGTGGAGTATACGGTTTTCAGCGACGCGTCCCATAACGGTTTGGGGTGTGTCCTCATGCAGGAGGGCAAGGTCGTTGCTTATGCATCTCGGTAGTTGAAGCCACATGAGTGTAACTATTCGACGCACGACCTTGAGCTAGCAACCATTGCACTTGCCTTAAAGATCTGAGGCATTACCTCTACGGTGAGACGACGCGGATCTTCACCGACCATAAGAATCTCCGGTAGAGAAGATGGTTGGAGTTGATTAAGGACTACGACTGTCACATCGCTTACCACCCAGGTAAGGCGAACGTGGTAGCCGATGCCCTTAGTCGGAAGACTCTAGCTGTGTTACACGTCCAGCCTACATTACAGCAGCAGATAGCATCGACCCAGAGGAGCGATGATTTCTGTATCCAGACCGTATAGCTCGTCTCTCAAGGAGAGAAGCCGGATTTCGCAGTTCGGGATGGTATCTTGTACTATCGGGAGCGTATGGTTATGCCAGCGGGGGAGGTGAGAGAACGCCTACTTCGCGAAGCACACAGCACTGTGTATACCATGCACCCGGGCGGTAACAAGATGTTTCAAGACCTTAAGAGACATTACTGGTGGCCCGCAATGGAGCAGGAGATCACAGAGTTCACATCACAGTGCTTGACTTATCAGCACGTCAAGGCCGAGCACCAGGTTCCTTCAGGGCTACTTCAGTAGATCACCATTCCCGAGTGGAAGTGGGATCGCATCACGATGGATTTCGTTATGAGACCACCATTGTCACCACGTAAGCACGACACAGTTTGGGTCATCGTTGATCGGTTGACCAAATCAGCTCATTTTCTCCCCATTAGTTGTGACTTCTCACTTCAGCGTCTAGCGGAGTTGTACATCCGCGAGATTATCAGGCTACATGGAGTTCCATCATCTATCATTTCGGATCGTGACCCTCGATTCACATCACAGTTTTGGAAGAGCCTACAAAGGGCATTGGGCTCCGATCTCCACTTCAGTACGGCGTTCCACCCTCAGACAGGCGATCAGTCGGAGAGGGTGATTCAGATTCTCGAGGATATGATGCATGCATGTGCAATTGACTTTGGGGAAGGTTGGGAGCAATACCTGCCACTCATGGAGTTTGCATACAACACTAGTCACCAGGCTAGCATCGGTATGGCACCATATGAGGCTCTGTACGGTAGACCCTGTCGTACCCCTACTTGTTGGACAGAGCTCAATGAGAAGAGGCTGGAAGGGCCTGATCTTGTTCGTGAGACCGAGGAGGGGGTCCAGGTGATTTAAGATCGGCTTAAGGCGGCATTAGACCGACAAAAGTTCTACGCCGACCTTAAAAGGCGTGACATCGAGTATGCAGTCGGAGATAAGGTCTTCTTGAAGGTGTCACCTTGGAAGAACGTCCTACGTTTCGGCAAGAGGGGTAAATTGAGTCCGAGGTTTATAGGCCCGTACCCAGTCACTGAACGGGTGGGACCTGTAGCTTACAGGCTTGAGCTACTATCGGAGTTGAGCAAGATCCACGATGTATTCCACGTGTCCATGCTCCGGAGGTACCGGTCGGACCCTTCTCATGTGATTCCAGTTGATACAGTCACACTCGATGAGAATCTTACGTACGAGGAGGAGCCGATTGAGATTCTGGCTTGCGAAGTCCGTCAGTTGAGGAACAAAACCATTCCGCTGGTCAAGGTTCTATGGAGAAGTCACACCGTCGAGGAGGCGACATGGGAAACCGAGGAATCCATGCGCACTCGTTATCCACATCTTTTTAGTGACCAGTGATCAGGTAAATTTCGAGGACGGAATTTTCTTAAGGGGTGGATAATTGTAACGCCCTACAACCTGGTCTAATAGAATTGATTAATTTAATTAATTAATTACTGTTCCGGACCGGAGTTGGGGAAAATAAAAGTTCTTAGAAAAAATTAGTTGATCATATCATTAAATTCGTTTAGACTATCTGATTCCAGAAACACAAACGGATCTCAATTCGGACCCGTTCGGGAGAAAAAGCGCGTACCGTTCAGGTCAGATTTTACCTAACGGAGTAAAATAAATAATTGTAACTCCACCCAATTCACACGCCACCTCACATTCTCACAACTCCATCATTTCTCATTTAATCCCCATTATTTCCCATTCAATATAATCCTCCCTTCCCTTCATTTTCCTTAGCACATTGTACCCCAACCCATAACTCTTTCACTCTCTCTTCCTCTCCCTTTCCTTGTTTCGGCCACACAACAGCTCGCCAAGGGGGAATTCCGGCAGTAGTCGCGGAGGAGGAAGAGAAGGAAGTGCACGTGTGAAGCAGGCCGTTCGTTTGTTTGTGGATAACCGTTCGTTCGTCTCGTTCTATCGGACCATCAACCCCTTCGTTTAGCGGTGAGTAGTTGTCCTTCTAATTCTAGAACATTTAGTTATAATCAATGTCGTTATATTCATAGGAATATCGTACACAACCTACGTAGAATCTGTTGAAGACTTGTCGTATGGTCCAAAACAAATTTAAAATTTATAAAATATCCTTAACTAACCCCCAAGATATAATCAAATAAAAACTATAGCTAGGGCAAGTAAGGGTCGATTCCACGGAGAAAGTTTGCACTTTTTAAAACAAAATTAGCATGCACACACGTTGTCACTAAACAAAACAAACTAACTACTAAACATATGATAAGACATATAAAACTTATATAAACAAAGAACTTATAATAAAACTTAAACACAACACAAAGGGGGGTGAATAAAAAGTAAATATATTTTTGGTTTTTTTATTTTTTTATTTTTTTTGGTTTTTTTTGATAAAATGGGGAAAACAAGCTCAAAAGATAATCAACTTCTCCAACTAAGGTAACCCAAGAAACACCACCAAGAACCGGTAACAAAATGAAAAAGAGAACAAACACAAGCCAAACATTAGACATATAATAGGCTCGTAGACAATATATTACGTAACTTACACACTTAAGAATAGAAAAAATCAATCAAAGGCCGAGTCGATTCATTTCCTTAACCACGATATGGAGGATTGTCAACTCTCCACACGGCCCGGAGTCATGCAATTCAAAGGCCCGTTTTGAAATATACCTTAGAATCCCAATTCTCTATTCAAGCATGAGAACATACTTTCACTATAGAAAAAGTTTATAAAAGAGAGAATCTATTATGCATTCAACTCTCATACATAATCTATTCACAAACCGCCAATACCTTATGTATTTTAACAAACTTTTTCTCCTAATGATGAGCACATTTCACAGATTTCCATGAACTTCTCAAACCAATGACGTTTTTTCTTTTCACATAGAGGAACACAACGTATTTTCAATAAATCAAGAATCATTTTTGAGCTTAAACAACTTCAAATTAATGAAAATAACAAAGAAGCACATAAAATCAAAACAAAAATCACTCAATAACGATTTCTAAGAAAAATGAATCAACTTATGGAGCTAAGAAGTCCAAAATTCTTAAAATCAACGAACACAAGCACAAAAGAGATTCACGTATGAATTCGGAGTTCATTTAACTACCTTATGGAGCTAAAATAGGTTCAACAAAAACCGAATTCCACATACCAGCCTACTTATGAAATCGAATTATGCAATTCAACCAATTCAAAAACAACTTGCTCAATAATTGAAGAAAAACTAGTTTGAATCAATTCTCATTCATAAGGGATATTAATATAAACAGGAAAAAAAACCCACAAAGAACACCAACCTTTTTTTTAGAATTTTTGAAATTAAATCAAACAAACAAACAAAAATGTAAGAATTGAATAAAAAACAAACTTTTACATAGAATTGGAGGAAGAAAAAATAAAAATTGACAAATAAAGGTTTCCCATTGTTGAAGAAGATGAACAAATTGAGTAAGCTGGAGCTGTGATGGAACAGCCTAACCTCTGCCCGGAGCTACTGCCGACCGCTCGCCGGAGATGAGGCCGCCGCCGGTTCGTGTCTGCCGGCCGTCCGCCGCCGCGCTAGAGATTTCTGCCAGAACCCGCCGTAGCAGCGGCTTGGCCACTACTTTATTCTCGTGTGTTTCCCCCCTCGTCCCTTTTGTTGCAATTCGCCCTTAATTTATAGGAGATTAGGAGCAAAGGGCCTTCAAATTTTTACCGTTGGAGCGCTTGAGCGAGATTTATGGAGAGACGTTGGAGAAGATGTGCGTTACTTCAATCTGGCTTCCTGCGAAGAAGAAGAAGTCTTCGTTCCTTTCTTTTCCTTGTGTCGTGCGTGAGATTGAAGAGGAAAGAGGGGTGCTGGGCTGATCTCTTTTAGTATTTGGTTTGGGCTGCGGCCCAAACTCATTCACTTCTTTTCAAACTTGAACTACACTTTGGCCTTTTGCTGCACTTTTCTCCAAAAAATAAGATATCTGATAATTTTGGATTAGGAAAAATAAAATAAAATGAAGACAATAATAAAATTTTAAAAAATAATTAAAAAACTACTATTTATTAAAAGAAAATTAAAATATTGTAAAAATGAGAATTAAAATAAAACTAAGCTAAACTACTAAAAATTAAACTCTAAAAATATTAAAAATACCTAAAATTGAATAAAAAGTACTAACCCAAACCCGGCTTATCAGAATCTATGCATGTTCGTAGGTTAACCATCCAACATATGTGTGTCCATGTTATCAAGTTATGTGCTCGTTAATATAAATGTTTTGAAACCTTGTAAGTTCATCGATTATCTAGCATGGAAATACAAACATTCGTTTCTAAAACTTCCAACGTTTTGATAACAAACAAACAGATATAATGGAAGTCCGCGTGCCTTGATAATCGAGTTACAGAATAGTACAATCGACTATCAGGCCATGCTGGACTCCTCAGTTGATTGAGCATAGCGTGATAATCGATTATCACATGTGTAATAATCGATTATCAGGCCATGCGGAATCTTGGGTCTGAGTTAGCTTCACTGATAATCGATTATCACATAGGCAATAATCGATTATCAGGGCTCCCTGAACTTAGGACTTCTTGAACAAACCAACTTGACAATCGATTGTCATAGGGTGACAATCGACTATCAAAGTCTGCAGGACTTTGGGGACAGAAGCTGCACAGCATGATAATCGATTATCAACAGTAGACAATCGATTATCAGCCAGTTCTGAACCCAAGGCCATCACGTTGAACAAATTGTAATCAAACACATATGTACGCATTGAATTTAACTTCCTACTTTAATCAATGCATTCATTCCATCATATTCATTCTAGACGCATGTTCTAGGTTTTCATCATGTGCATACCGCTGTAGGGAGGACTTCGTGCGCCTACTACAGTGGGCCCGTCCAGGAACCTTTGGGACCAACGGGTTATCATCATGTTGGGCTTGTGTACGTACATAGTAGTACCCGGTTTTGCTAGTCCACTCGCGACATCTTCGTTGTGCGCGGCTCGTTACCGTTCGGGGACGATGATCGGAGTGCAGGTGTGATTCTGTCGAGTGAGACTAAGACAGGGGTGTCCCTGATAGTTTAAGTCATGCATCAGGTCATTTATTATCATCATGTATGTTCCTTGTTACTTGAAATAGCTGTAACTGGTGAAAACTAAACAGTTAGTAACGTGTGGTTTCCCGTACGTTAAGTACATGTATTGATATGGGTATAGTCATATCGGTTATCACTTAATGTTCTTTTGTTAGATTCACTCCTCAGCTTTTGCTGAGCGTGTAGTTGTTTTTGCTAGACATGACGGAGCGGGTGCCAACCCTGGAGAGCAGTGACGATGGAGAGATGGGCGGCACACGGACACGCTCATATTTACTTTTAATTTCTTGATTAACTATTTGGGCATGAACCCACCCTTTTCGTTAATTAATTTGGACTGGTCTTATTTATTTACTTCCGCATTTACTCTGCGGATTTATTACACACGTTTTAGGAGTAACTCCCTGGAATTTATTTCACTAATTAAAACCCAACCAATTTCTTATTAAATATCCATTAATGTTTTTGTAACGGATGGTTCTCGGATTGTCTATGTAACCCTACCGGTCCGTCGGGTCGCGGGTGAACCGGGTCCACAGAAGGCGGGTGTTACAGTGGGAGATGGCCGTGGATGGGGCATCTGGCCCTAAAGGGTACGGGGGTGGTATAGTGTTTAGCACCCCAGAAGGATTCAAGCTCTACCATGCGCTCGTCTTCAACTTCAAATTGACGAACAATGAAGTGGAATATGAAGCTCTAGCTAGAGGGCTCAGACTTGCTCAAGCTCTCAAAATCAACCAGGTCAATATAAAATCTGACTCTAGTCTGATTGTTGGGAATGTGACTGGCAACATGGAGGCCAGGGAAGGACGAATGGTGCAGTACAAGGATCTGGTGCTAGCCTTGTTGAAAGGCTTTGCAGAATTCAAGATCGCCCAGATTCCTTGGGTAGAAAATGCACATGCAGACCTTCTCTCTAAATAAACGCAGTATGCCCCCTGAGCATGTTTCAAAGGACAATGTCAACTTCCAACACGGTTGGAGCTGACAGTCGCTGGATGGACGATCTTTTGAGAGACTTGACAGACGGAAGCCTACCCAAATAGGAAGACTGGGTGCGTAAAGTAAAAATCAGAGCACCACGGTTCCAGGTCATCGACGGCATGTTGTACAAAAGGGCTTTCGGAGGACCACTCTGAGATGTCTAACCAACCGGGAAGCAGAGCGAGTCATAGAAAAAGTTCATGGGGGTGTGTGTGCGGCAAATCAAATGTATCGCACCCTATCCCAGCGCATCATACTGCTAGGGTACTACTGGCCTACAATTGTCTAAGACTGTGAAAGATACGTTCAGAAATGCAAAACATGCCAAGTCTTCTACAAGTATCCAGGTAGACCGGCAACCTACTATCATCCCGTGTCGAACGTCATCCCATTTGCTAGATTCGAGGTTGATATCATCGGAGCGTTCCCAATAGCTCAAGGAAGGAAAAAGTTTGTAATAGTAGCGATCGATTACTTCACCAAATGGATCGAAGCTAAAGCGTTGGCCAACATCACCATGCAACAATGCAAGAGTTCATTTGGAAGAAAATTATCACGAGATTTGGAGCTCCCATGAATCTCGTCACCGAAAATGGCCCGTAGTTCCGAAATCCAAGGTTCACTGAATACTTGGATAGCATCGGGATTAAGCACAATCGTTCTTCGGTGGCATACCCCCAAGGCAATTGCCAAGTGGAAAATGCCAACCGAACGATTGTGGAAAGTTTGAAGAAACGGCTGGGAGAAGCAAGAAATAAATGGTTGGAGGAACTTCAACACATCATATGGGCATTTCGAGTAACACCCAGGAAGGCTCATGGAGAAACTCCATTTTCCCTGACTTATTGTTGTGAAGCAAGATTGCCCATTGAAGCTGTGTTCCCGACATTTTGGGAAACAAATTACCAACCCCAGCAGAACGAAGAAGAGCATTTGGCCGAACTCAACTTGGTTGAGGAACAAAGGATGGCCGCGGAAGTAAAGATGAACACGTACCAACAAGTTGTGCAAAAATATCATGACAACAAAGTTGGACCACGATACTTTCAAGTCGAAGATGAGGTCTTAAGAAGAAGGGAGGCTAGCAAACCGGGTGATGGAGGAAAGCTGGCCAGGAACTGGGAAGGACCATACCGGGTGAGTTCCATAATTTGCCCGGGCACATACCGGTTAGAAACATTGGAGGGGCAACCAGTAGAAAGATCATGGAATTCTCATTATTTGAGGAAGTTCTACAAATAATTTATAATACTAGGCGAGGCCTATTTTTATTGACAATGAGTTCAATTATTCTACTTGGTAGTAGCAGAAATGATAGGTCAAACCTATCCAAGGAGGGCTTCTTGGGTGGATCGAATCGACTCGGATAAGCCAACTAAGACATAGGCCCAGACCTGGCACGCTGGTAACTACACCGGTCTTGCTCATTATAATTAAAAAAATATAAATCCGGAAGAGGGTCCCCGGATAAGGGGTATGCCTACAAGAAGGTTAGACGTGGAAGAAGGTTCAAACCGTACTTACATGCAATGGGCCCATGAGGTTTGACCGGTATCGGGGAATCAGCTGAAACCGTCAAACTGATTGGGGACTAAAAGATGCCCATTAAAAGAAATAGAAGAGGATCGTTCACCGCCATGCATCCTATTTCGACCGGTTCAGATTCCCCCTTCTCAGGGAAGACTTCAACGGGAGGGTGAGCTAAGGCCTTCCCGGGATAGTAGAAATCCAAGGTCCATTAAAATACTTAATCACCCGGAAGAGGGGGCCCTGGTGTTGAAACACGGGTTTATCACGTTTTCGTACTAAAGCCGACGTTCGTTGTTATGACAGGTTTTGATAATGCCAAACCGCCGTGAACGAGACAAGTCATTGAATATACAAGGCGAAAACCAAAGATGATAAGAAAGAGAACAAGAGCCAAACGAAGACCAAGAACGAAGACCTTAGTCTTAGCATCGTTGAGTCGGTCTTTATTGTGATCAAGACCGACCCAATCTTTACACCTTGGCTCTTTAGGCTAAAATTCTTTTCAATGCATTTCACACATCATAAAAATGTTTTTCAAAGATGTATAAAACATTAAAAACACTTGGTGTTCGCCCAAACCAAAAACCAAGCCATCCGGCGTTCGGGTTTCAGAAACCGGCATTCGGCATTCGGTTTTCGGCGTTGGTTTTTAGGGTCC